GATATACAAATCCGCATTGAACCCACGAAATTTAAATGATGGATTTACAGGGTCAAGCCTTCATTATTTTCTATCAATCTCTGTATTATCTTTACCACCCCATGGTTTGTACCCAGTTAGAAACTTCAAAACGGCTTTAAAATCAAATTAGTAAACCTATTAGCCATGAACCACAACAATGACGATTTCATTCAAAATGATATGCTCATCAAAAACTCCAAATATAACTTAACTTGTCTCAAACAGATAATCAAATGTAAAAAGAAAATGATGTAAGTAAATAATCAAGTAAAAAATAAATTTATAAGGAAAACCACATGAATTATACATTACTCACTGAATGGTTAGGTATGTCTTATGACCATCAATATATATTTTTATGTATAATTTATTTTATGTACTTTAAAGCAACAATTGTAAATATGAAAAAAAGTGTTATTATAGAAAGGTTTTACTTTSCTTAATCAAGCGTAACTTTAAAAAAATGTCTTTTAAAATACATATAACAATAACTGAGCCATGTACTTCGTTTCCCGTAAAACGGAATATAGTGTAAGCATAAATTATAAGTTAAGATTATATCCAATCATACTAATAACCTAACCAGTGGCAACCATTTACGATATAAAAAAAAACTGCCTAATTTCTACTATTTGGCAGAATTATAATCTGTAACTGGTGACAAACATTTACAAGCAAAAAAAAAAAAATGATTTCTATAGTGCACCATTATACATAGTACAGTACTACGAAGATACAAAATGTCAAATCTCTAGCTATCATAGCTTAGGCTCCACGTTAAATTCTTTTAAAATGAAAACTAAAAAAGAWTTAAAATTAATTAAACATCTACTAGGTGGAATGAGATTGTRCATGTCTAYTAATAATTGTATTGTTTTCTTTATAGAATATATTAAATTCGAGCATATTATGTGTTGATAATGTGTAAACTAACTTTTATTTTAATAGGCACCTACCTACTATGATAAAACAATTCTTAATTATGAATAGAGATTTCTGATTACCTA